TGAAAGATTAACGCAATTAACGAACCAGGAACAAAATGGTCGCGACATGCATAAACTGCAAGAATATGGTCAATGGCAAATGATAACAGTTGTAACAAAATCAACTAGTTAGTGACCACTATTTTTTGATCACTAATCATTTCAATTTAGTGACCACTATTTTTAGTCACTAAACTTCCAACTTAGTGACCACTATTTTTCGTCAGTAACATTTCTAAGTAACACCATCTAGTTAGTAACCAATATTTTAGTCACTAATCATTTCTAGTTTGTGACTATTTTGTTTTTTGTCACTAAAACTTTCAACTTAATGACCATCATCTTTTGGTTACCAAACCGTTYAACTCAGTGACCATTATTTTGGTCAATAAACGCATGAATTTATAAAATCAATGACGAAAATATGGTCGTCATAAATTTAGTCATTAAAATAGATTGATATATAGAATCGATGGACTCTTTAATAAGCCCAAACATTAACTCAACAATCTCAACCACTTCAGTTTTTGTTATAAATTTAGTTCTAAAACATTATTTAAAGGCACCCGTCAAAGTTAAGCAGGTTCAATTTTTTTTTATTAAGCTGGATATCCAACCCACTATGTGACCACCTGCTTTGCGGGTAGCCAAGATGTCAAGTTAGTAATTCAACAAAAGAAAGATATAGAAATTCAAGGATATTCTTCTCATTTTTATCCCACATCATGACAATGTCAAGACAATCATGGATCCGATGTCAAGTTAGTAAATTTTTGTCCCACATCGACCCGTTATGATTTACTTTATGAGAATCTCGCTCATTAAATATCTTTATCTCATGTCTTCAATCTCCGAACATGAGTACTTTTAGTATCGATGAACAATATTGTTTGTATCATTCGTTTTTCTCTCATCCATGAGAGAAGTATGTACATTTTTAACGTGGCAACGCGTCATGGAAGGTAATCTATAACATCCTTTTCTTTCTTGCGTTTATTTTATGTAGCAATGCTATTTAATTACTTATGTTTATCGTTTTCGTTCTTTAGTTCACAATGTCTTTTTAGCGTACGTATCAAGATCAAGAACTTATCGTCAATGTTCATAACATTTCTGGAGAGAGGAAATCGACATGATCACGGTAAGTACTTTTGACGTTGTTGTATGAGTTTATGATAAAATTACTGAACTAACATCAATACATCTACTATTTTATAAACATTTGAAGGTTAGATATGAAATCCTTGCAACTCACTACAGCTAGCCAAACTAATAAATCTAGTGATGACTATGTTTCAGTCACTAGCGAAACAAAAATGTGTTTATAACGATACGATTGCGGTTCCTAACAGGTGAGTGCATATGAAGATCTTTTCTACCGTTATTACAAGGGCACTGATGGGGTGTTAGATCCTGAAGTATTTAGTGTATTAGTTGAATTGCTTGAACTAACTGATCGAAGCCACCGCCCTTGAACAAGAACGAAGAGCATCGACTGAAATGGTTACTGCCAGAGTGGAGATCTTGGGAAGAGTATAGAAAAGATGTTAACGGCATCAAAGCTGATCAAAAAAAATTTGCACACAATAATCATAGTTTAGAGTCATCTCGACGTAAGGTCGTCCTTTCTTCATATTTCTGTCCGATATGGAATTGCCGACATTGTACATTACAGTAACACTTCAAATGATTGTTGAAAAAGAATTGTCTATCAATTTACGTATCACCGTGTGTCAATGATAGAGATTCCTCTTTGCACATTTGCACCCTTCAAATGGAGAAAGGTTGGTTTGCTGTATTGTAGAACATTGTCACGAAATGAAAGATTTAGTAAAATTTAGTAGATTCAGAGTTGGCCATCTCATAGCCGTAAGGGGCTGTTTGGCAGTTGTTGAATGGTTTGGTGCAGAATGATTAAGTGGTCAGAATGATTAAGAGACTCTCATGATATAGTGCAAAATGAAATATAATTGTCTGATAATTATTTTCAACAAAATTAGAGCTCTGAATGGTTAAGGGAGATCCATGATACAAAATCATTCAGGGGGTTTTAGAACCATTAAACCATTAAGAGGCAGACCATTTTTTCACCAAACAAGATTCACCTCTTAACGATTCAGAGATTGTCTCTTAATGGAACGATTAAGAGATTGCCTCTTCCTTCTTCTATTCAATCTTGTAATTCTTGACGATGTTCCTCTTTTTGCATTTATCATTCAGTTGGCTTCTTTGCAAACCTCTTATTGAATGCCTTTGTGAGTAATACAAGACTTTCAGCCAACTGTTTCAACTCAGCATCAGACTCTTCACCTTCAGAACCAAAACTAGAAACTACAGGAAGTTCAACAATCCTTTTTTAGGAGGACCTTAAGTACTTTCTACTTGTTTCATGCTCCTTTCACTACAACAAAATCGGGTTTATAGGGCACTTCTAATTTCTAACCATCCTAATAGACCTCTTTATAAGACTTAATTTATAGGACCAAAACAATAAAGCGTCTTATCTAAAGGCGTTGTAATAAGTTTATATGACGTTTTTTAACGTCGTAATAAGTTTTTTTAGGACACCATTAATATAAAGCGTCCCAATAACAACTTTATAGAACAATATTTGAAAAACTGTCCTATAAAAGCAAATGTCCTATAAAAAATTGAGTTTATAGGACACTTTCTCAAAAATGTCATATAAAGTTGCTAATGCGACACTTTGTATTAAAAACGTCCTAAAAAACTTGTTAAGACGTCCAAAAGCGTCATATAAATTTATTACAACACCTTTTAGACATGACACTTTATTTTTTTGGTCCCATAAACTAAGTTTTATAAAGAGGTCTATTACGACGCTTAGAAATTAGAAGTGTCCTATAAACCCGATTTTGTTGTAGTGTGTTCTGATGCAAAAGCCAGAGAATCATAAGAAGCTTTTAATGCAACTCTTTTTCCTGCCATTCTTTCTTTGAACCTTCTTCATGCTGATTTAAACACGTTTGGAAGATTGCCGCTACCTAAGTTGGGGGCAGGTCGACCAATGCCATATCTTGGCCTTCCGGTCGTTTATAGGGGTGTAAATGATACGAGACAACTCGCGAGCTACTCGAGATCGATTCGGTCAAAACTCGGTCAACACTCGATTCGAATAGGCTCAGCTCGAACTCGAGCTCGTCTCGATATATTAACGAGTCGAGTCAAGCTACACAGTACTCGACTCGAAAAGCTCGTGAGATACTCGATTATTTTATATATAATTAGTTTTAATGATAAAATTTGTAAAATATAAATAATAAAAATGTCCTACATTTTTAGATATTTAAACAAAATTATGCATTTTTAATTATAAAACGAATCAATTATTATTTTTATTAAAATCAAAATTAAAAAAAAAAAAGACAAAGAAAAACTATAAAAAAAGGTTAGTGAAATTGTCCCACATTGGAAGAAAGATGGTAAAGGAAGGGAGAAAAAATGTTATAARAWGATAGGGAGGTGAATGTAATTTCTAACTTTGTCTTTTTGATGATGAAGTTTGAAGTTGATCATTTAGTTTTGTAAAAATTAAGAGAACACATTTAAGTTTTAAATTTTATAAGAGAAAAATCCTAAAATTTCATAAATTTGAATGGGTGAGCTTGGTTCGAGTTTGATTCGAGTTCGAGCTCGAGTTTGAGCTTGATTCGAGTTCGAGTTCGAGTTTGAGCTCGAGTTTGAGCTTGATTCGAGTTCGAGTTCGAGCTTGAGAAATAGTTATCGAGTTCGAGTCGAGCTTTGATTTTTACTACTCGCGAGTTTTCGAGTCGAGTTCGAGCTTGGAAATTCGGTTTCGAGTTCGAGTCGAGTATAGTGATACTCGAACTCGACTCGCATCATTTACACCCCTAGTCGTTTACACAACCTTGGCCGTGACATAAGGTTGCCGGTGAAGTCGCATCACTACAACAAAATCGCGTTTATAGAACACTCTCAAATTTTAAGTATCCTAATAGACCTCTTTATAAGACTTAGTTTCTAGGACCAAAAAAATAAAATGTCGTATCTAAAGGTGTTGTAATAAGTTTATATGAAGTTTTCTGACGTCGTAATAAGTTTTTTAAGACACTTTTAATATAAAATGTTCCATTATCAACTTTATAGGACACTATTTGAAAATTTGTCATATAAAAACAAGTGTCCTATAAAAAATGAGTTTATAGGACACTTTTTCAAAAGTGTCCTATAAAGTTGCTAATGTGACACTTTGTATTAAAAATGTCCTAAAAAAACTTGTTAAAATGCCCAAAAACGTCATATAAACTTGTTACAACACCTTTAGATAGGACACTTTATATTTTGGTCCTATAAATTAAGTCTTATAAAGAGGTCTATTGGGACACTTAGAGATTGGGGGTGTCCTGTAAACTCAATTTTGTTGTAGTGCATAGACCAGTGTCTACAACTCCTAGGGGTTATACAACCGTCACCAAGTCGCGTAGATACCCAAAAAACCATATTCAAGTTTTATGATTTCCAAACACTCCAAGGTGATCACTCTACAAAATCACGAACTTAAATTCAAAAAGATCAAGAATATCGTAAGTGGAATTCCCAAAATCATGGGTGTAAGCGTGTAATTTCGGATGTCAAGTGGCGATACACAGAGTTTGAGTAAACTACATGTGCGCGCGGTTAACTCTACAAGATACACAATATCACATCATAACGTAAAGTTGGCCTCAATTAAGCAAATATATGATCATGGAGATGTATAAACACGAAATTTGATAGGTAGAGAAGCATAAGCACACAAAACTATTGTGAGGATCATATGTATGGCGTCTGGGTTTCAACTAACCATATTTCAAAATCTCGTCGTAGAACGATAATAAAATACTGAATTATAGTTTGTATTTGTACACATTTTATGAGTTAATTGTAAGTTATTTGGATGGATTTCGAAAAGTTTTATGAAATTGTACATATACACCTTATAATTTCAGAAAATCACGTACTATTTTAATGCTTAATAACTTATGTTTTAATGACTCACTACAACAAAATTGAGTTTATAGGACACTTCCAATCTCTAAGCGCCCCAATAGACCGCTTTATAGGACTTAATTTATAGGACCAAATATAAAGCGTCCTATTTAAAGGTGGTGCAATAAGTTTATACGACGCTTTTAGACGTCTTAACAAGTTTTTTAGGACATTTTTAATACAAAGTGTCGCATTAGCAACTTTATAGGACACTTTTGAAAAAGTGTCCTATAAACTCAATTTTTTATAGGACATTTGTTTTTATAGGACAGTTTTTTAAATAGTGTCCTATAAAGTTGTTAATAGGACGCTATATATTAAAAATGTCCTAAAAAAAACTTATTACAACGCCACACTTTATTTTTTTTGATCCTATAAACTAAGGGCTTGTTTACCAAATGTTTACTCGGGTAAGTGAACATCATGTTACATTACCTTACCGGATGAATATGATAAGGACCCAAAATCTTACTCGGTAAGAGCGAGACAAAGACCAAGAGTCTTACCCGGTAAGTGAGGACGACGACTCTTACCATGGTAAGCGCTTACCTAGTAAATTGTTGCGTACGATACCGTTTTGGTGGACAAAAATTTTACCCGGTAAATAAATGATAATGTTAAATTTACCGGTAAACGCTTACCGGGTAAGTGTTTGGTAAACGGTCCTTAAGTCTTATAAATAGGTCTATTAAAACGCTTAGAAATTGAGACTGTCCTATAAACCTAATTTCGTTGTAGTGACTTCGATCAATGATTTATAATAGAGTATAAATATAAATATAAATTAATGAGGGTGTACCCAAGACACTCTAAACATTACTATGACTCTATATATTAATTAAGGCTAAATAACAATGAACCTTAGAATTCAAATAAGATCCTATTCTGGAAAAGGGATATCAGCAAGATCCTCTCTATACGGAACATTCGTCAACTCCTGCGCTTTGTCGGTGTTATTTTCTCCGTTTTCCATGCTAACTTGAGCATTAGGGTCACGTTTTGTTGGCTCGACGAACGTAACGACAACATCTTTGCGGAACATAAGGTAGAGCACGGATAGAATGTAGACCGCCATGATGGGAAAGACGATAATCCCAATGAACACATTAGCAACTTTAGGCAAACTGCTGTGAATTAGCCAATCTACGAACGAAGTGGTCAAGTAGTAAATGTTGATGCCGATTATCCCGAGCCCTAGCACCCAGGAGAAGACGATGATCTGCACACGGAAAGGCAATATCTGTTATGAACCATGATACCAAAATCGGATTTATAGAATGTCCAAAATGTGTAAGTGTTCTAATAGACTTACTTTATATGACTTCAATTTATAGAACCAAATAACTGTACGTCCTATGTAAAAGTGTTGTAATAAGTTTATATGACACTTTTGACCTATCGACAAATTTTTTTACAAGCGTATTCGTGTTTTTAGAGGACAATTTTGAGGTTCAAAAATGTACAAACTATTATGCATAATGTATAAATGCTTAAAACATACCATTTGTTTGATCAAAATTTCAGATTTAAGTAAGCCATATTTATATGAAAAATGTATGTTTAGTCTTCCCAAAATTGTTTGACACTTTGTTTGTTTTCTATTTTGAACCCAAATTCAGATTCAAAGTTATTCTAATATGAAGTAACAATATCATAAAGGGTTTCAGATCTTGCATGTACCCCACCCCAACCGTTCAACTTTATATGGTTTTAGAAACTCAACATGTGTGCAATTATTTTTCCAATCGATCTTACTAATACACCATATTAGCCTTCAACTTTATATATTAGTTGACTTGCAAAATAACAACACAAACTCATGATTCAAAGCTAAACTAATGTTTCAGAATTGTGATTCACCCGTGCTGCATCACACAAGTACACCACTAGTATGAAAATGTGTTAATAAGACGCTTTTTGTTTTAAGAAAATGCTAAAATACACATGAATATACTTGTTGCAACGTTTTTACATATGACTCATAAATGTTTGGTCACACTACAACAAAATCGGATTTATAGGACACTCACAATTTCTAAGTGTTCTAATAGACCTTTTTACAAGACTTACTTTATAGGACCCCAAAAAATAAAGCATCATATCTAAAGGCGTTGTAATAAGTTTATATGACATTTTTTGATGTCGTAATAAGTTTTTTAGGACACTTTTAATATAAAGCGTCCCATTAGCAACTTTATAGAACACTATTTGAAAAACTGTCCTATAAAATCAAATGTCCTATAAAAAATTGAGTTTATAGGACACTTTCTCCTGTAAAGTTGCTAATGCGACACTTTATATTAAAAATGTCCTAAAAAACTTGTTAAGACGCCCAAAAGCGTCATATAAACTTATTACAACACTACTTTATATTTTGTTCTTATAAATTAAGTCCTATAAAGCGGTCTATTGGGACACTTAATGATTGGAGGTGTCCTATAAATCCAATTTTGTTGTAGTGTCATATAAAACAATCTGTTAAATCAGTTAGACATTTTTTGCAGTCCTGTAAACCCGATTTGATTTTGTGTTAGTGAAATCATGGCAACTAGAGAATTGATAACTCACAATCATGGAGTTTTTGTGAGGACCCATTTTGGTAGCTGTGCTGCTGAATTTGAGCAGTGGAATGAGGGCAAAAGGAAGTTCAAACGACAATATCATCTGTAAAAGATGATCATGGAAATTTTAGCCACGAAGAAACGTAATTAGAAGTGCAGTTGTAATGTCGACAAACAGCGAGAACACGGAAACAAACCGATGCAATGATGATTAGTCGTCCCGCACCAGACGACCCACCAATTATCGATACTATTAGACTCGGGGTGATGGCAATGCATCTTGTTATCAAGTTCCTGAGCCATTTCCTCATCTTTAAATCCAAAAAACCCTACAATAACATGCATGAAGAATGTGGTCTATAATGTTATCTTGTGAATCCAACTACAGAAACATATAACACTTCTGTAAGTTGTATGTTATACCCACGACACGTGTCACCCAGATACACTGCCAACGAGCCATGTAAAACTAAAGGGTCGCACACAAATAACACGTATGTTTCCACTAAAGAAAGAATCTAAACAGTGTACCGTTTTGTGATTATAATAATTAGAAGGTTTAATCTATAAATATGTATGTAATTATCTTAAATGTTTTTGGATAATTATATAAGATATTATTAGATAAATAAATAATCATTTTAGATAATGATTAAGCTTTATTAAGAGTTTTTTTCTTTTATTAACCCGGATATCCAACCCACTATGTGAACCGACTAATCACAGGGCGACCACCTGCTTTGCAGATAGCCCGGAGTCACCGCATTTGAACCTCCGTGGCTACAAGAGGATTTCTACTCCTCCTTGGATTTGAACCTCGGACCTCCAGGTACTTTTGACCTTTGGAGCCAAGCTCAAACCAATCAGGCACCACCCTGTGTGGTTGCCTTATTAAGAGGTATGGTCAATCTCGAAGACTGACTATATAAATAAGGCTTAGGGGCTAAACCAAAGTAGGGGATTGAGTTCTGATAACTAGTTGTAGCCTCAAAACCCTTACGATACAATTATAGAATTAGGATTCTTTGGGCTAGCACCCGGTGGGAGTTTCAAACGTGTTCGTGTGTGGACAACCAATAGAGGAAACCTGATTAATTTGGTTTCTTAGTGCTACATCAAAGTTTCAATTTCAACCACAAGGTAAATATTTTAAACACCCTATGGTTTGTGTAGATTCGTTTTAATTGTCAATGGATCCGGCTTTGGGTTTTATTTAGAAAAAAATTTCTAAACATTTTTGTAACCGGGTTTTGTTTTTTCGCTGCGTTTTATCCGGTTATTTTCGCAAACTAAAACCCAACAACTTCGATTATTGAAAAGGTCGTATTGAAAGGGAAACATCGCTAAATGCGTTTTGCAATGTGAGGAACTTCACGAACCTGCATAATAAATTGTCCTGCGTAAGTGCCGGTGATGGTTGAACTCTGGCCAGAAGCTAGCAGTGCAATTGCGTAAAGAGTGGAGCTCGACTTCCCCAAAACATTCTGTATAGTAAAATAGGGGTTACGTATCATATATCGACGTTCTTCTAATTTTATAACATTCACGTCGTACACAACTCTTACTTTAAGGAGAAACGAAGCCGAGTCAAGGGAAAGATCACTGCATCGCTCAAAGTCCGCACTTGGTAAATTTTCAGCCGAGCAAACTGTACCCGAAACGGCGATGATTGAAACGTTGATCAAGAATGCCACAAAGAGAGCAATACCACTCTCTATCAGGAAGTATCTGCATGCATCCTGTAATGCAAAACATCATTCCTCAAGTCCAGACACATGAAATAACACTATAGCATGAGTTTATAGAACGCCAAAAATTTACAAGCGTCCTCTGGACTACTACATAGCATTTAACTTGTAGGATCAAAGACGTCGTATATATAAAAGTGTTATAATAAGTTTATAGAACGCTTTTGGCACTACAACAAAATCGGTTTTTATAGGACTATCTCAAATTCTAAATGTCATAATAGACCTCTTTATAAGACTTAGTTTATAGGACCCAAAAAACAAAGCGTCTAAGTTTATATGACGTTTTTCGATGTCGTAATAAGTTTTTTATGACACTTTTAATATAAAGCGTCTTGTTATCAACTTTATATGACACTAGTTGAAAAACTGTCCTATAAAAACAAATGTCCTATAAAAAATTGAGTTTATAGGACACTTTCGCAAAAATGTCCTATAAAGTTGATAATTGGACACCTTCGCAAAAGTATCCTATAAAGTTGATAATGGGACGCTTTATATTAAAAGTGTCCTAAAAAACTTATTACGACGTCAAAAAACGTCTTATAAACTTATTACAACATAGGACACTTCATTTTTTTAGTCCTATAAACTAAGTCCTATAAAGAGGTCTATTAGGACACTTAGGATTTGGGAGTGTCCTATAAAACCGATTTTGTTGTAGTGTGGGCAATTTGTTGTAGTGAAATGACCAACTTTCAAAGACAAATTTTAGTAAACATCTAGGGTCTGATCAATCTCTTTTGAAAGTCCTAGTTACCGAAAAGACTTACATTGATGCCACGAACCGAATTTGGTATCTTCCGGGAGAGAACGAGAGCGGAATGAAGAAAAAGATTATGCCTGTTGATCGAAAACAGCAAAATGGCTAGGTGTTAAGAAAAACTACAACAGTTTTTCAAGGAAAAAGCAGAAAGAGTCTTTTGGCAGTAGGATCATACGGCATAACAAGCGCACCAAGCAATGCAATGGCGTCACCCGTAGCACCTCGGCCACCGAGTTTTGGGATGAACATTCCCTTCAGCACATCGGCAGCCGGTGGCTTCACGTAACTCATTTCTCCAAAGAAACAACCCGCCATCACGAAAACTAGAAGAGCTATTAAGATCTCTAGCTTCCTCACCTATATATATATATATATACCGAAGTTAGAGCTAGATGAAAAATTCGTATGGCAATTTATTTTAAAAGTATCAAAACTAAAGACGTCGTTAAAACACTTTGCATAGGATCGTTCGATTGTTTGATTCTATAAACTTAAAAAGGTTTAAAAGTGATTCGATTAGAACAATTAGTAACTCAATTTTGTCACGGCCAATATTGACGCACTACAACAAAATCGGGTTTATAAGACACTCTCAAATTCTAAGTGTCCTAATAGAACACTTTATAGGACTTAGTTTATAGGACCAAAAAAATAAAATGTCCTATCTAAAGATGTTGTAATAAGTTTATATGACGTTTTTGGGCGTCTTAACAAGTTTTTTAGGACATTTTTAATACAAAGTGTCGCATTAACAACTTTATAGGACACTTTTGAGAAAGTGTCCTATAAACTCATTTTTTATAGGAGACTTATTTTTATAAGACAACCTTTCAAACAGTGTCATATAAAGTTGATAATGGGACACTTTATATTAAAAGTGTCCAAAAAAACTTATTACGACGTCAAAAAACATCATATAAACTTATTACAGCACCTTTAGATATGACACTTTATTTTTTGGTCCTATAAACTAAGTCCTATAAATAGGTCTATTAAGACACTTAGAATTTGAGAGTGTCCTGTAAACCCGATTTTGTTATAGTGGACCCATGTTGCAGCTTTATAAAATTATGCAGACCTTGTTCTATTATAAAGTATTTATCTTACACCATATCTTTGGAGACCAAGAAGAAGGAGGGTGCTGAATCCAGTGAGAAGAACTCCAACCCAAACTGGAATATTGAACAAGATATTCAGTGCAAAAGCTGTCCCAATCACTGCCACCATCAAAACAGAAATGTCTCATAAATTTTATAAGAAAAAAAGTCAAAGAAAATGAAATACCATGAGACCACCATGGAGGTTTAAATGCAGTGACTCCAAACTACCCTTAACGTAAATATAAAGCAGGGATTAGTCGGCTTGCATAGCGGGTTGGATATCCAGGTTAATTAAAAAAATGATGCGGTCGTTATGGTTTATTTTGTAATAGATAATAAAATGATCTCGATAGTAATTTAAACAATTCGTGCCTTCGGGAATATCCGCTGCAATGACCGCAACCTCAGCTAGCAGCCACAAACAGTACTTCACGAAAATTGGGTATTCGGCCTTGCATAACTCTGATAGATGCTTTCCTGAAAAATGCACAAACCGTATCGTTTTTAGATATTTATTTCTAATATCTCGTTTAACACCGCAACAAAATCAAGTTTAAATTGTATGTACTACAACAAAATTGGGTATATAGGACACCATCAATCTCTAAACGTCCCAATAGACCGTTTTATAGGACTTAAGTTATAAGATCAAAATATAAAGCGTCATCTAAAGGTGTTGTAATAAGTTTATATGACGCTTTTGGACGTCTTAACAAGTTTTTTAGGACATTTTTAATACAAAATATCGCATTAGCAACTTTATATGACATTTTTGAAATAGTGTCCTATAAAGTTGTTAATAGGACGCTTTATATTAAAAGTGTCCTAAAAAAAACTTATTACGACATCAAAAAAAGGTCATATAAACTTATTACAACATCTTTAGATAGGACTTTTTATTTTGTTGGTCCTATGAACTAAGTCTTATAAAGAGGTCCATTATGACACTTAGAAATTGGGAGTGTCATATAAACCCGATTTTGTTGTAGTGATGTTTTATTTATATAAAAATGTTTTTATATGACATTATCTGGAAAAAAGAAATCGTATAAAAGTAATTGTTCTGTAAAAGGATGTGTTCGCATCAAAACTGTTTGTTAAAAAATTAATATGTGACTTTGTTTCTAAAAACTTGTTATGACATTCTAAAACGTTCTATAAACTTATTGTAATACTTGTACATGAGACACACAACTGTTTGTTGCGATAGACTTAAATCTTATAAGACAATCTATTAGGATTTTAAAAAAAATTGCATCTTATAAACCGTATTTTGTTGTAGGAAAGTAAAAGTAGTCATCGGATTAAATCATTGTCTTACCGGTGCTTACACCTAAATTTGCTGCGAGAGATTGAATCACCAACGCAAATATTAACCCGATTAAGATCACCCAAAGTAGCTGAAAAGATAAAAACATTCCATGGTCAAATTATCGGGTGTTTTTATCGAACTGTAACCATGGTCGTTCATGGCATGAACGTTTACCTCGTATCTATGGTTTGCTCCTGCTTGTAAATCAGTTTCCACTGTATACAAAGCATCGATAAGTTTCTGAGTATATAGGTAAGACGAAATGAGATGTCAAGAAATCAAGATCGACTTACAATTGCCGGGATCAAGATAAGCCAATGAAACGAGGAAACCGGGACCAACAAATGAGAGGAAAGCTCTCCATCCGGGCTTCTGAGGATTACCATTCATTGAAAATTAGAAACAGTTCAAACGTTGTCACTACAACAAAATTGGGTTTATAAGGATGCCAAAATTGTCTAAGGGACCTAATAGACTTCTTCATAGAACTTAAGTATATAGGACTTGTGCGTCCTATATATGAAAGTGTTACAATAACGTCACTACAACAAAATTGGGTTTATAGGACACCTCCAATCTCTAAGCGTTCCAATAAACTGTTTTATAGGACCAAAATATAAAGCGTTTTATTTAAAGATGTTGTAATAAGTTTATATGACACTTTTGGGCGTCTTAACAAGTTTTTTAGAACATTTTTTATACAAAGTATCGCATTAGCAACTTTATAGGACATTTTTTAGAAAGTGTCCTATAAACTCAATTTTTTATAGGACATTTGTTTTTATATGACAGTTTTTTAAATAGTGTCCTATAAAGTTGCTAATTGGACGCTTTATATTAAAAATGTCCAAAAAAACTTGTTACGACATCAAAAAACGTCATATAAACTTATTACAACGCTTTTAAATAAAACGCTTTAACTTTTTGGTTCTATAAACTAAGTCTTATAAAGAGGTCTATTAGGACGCTTAGAAATTGAGAGCCTATAAACCCAATTTCGTTGTAGTGCGTTATATCACGTTTTTTAGATGTCTTAACAAGTTTTTTAGAACAATTTTGAAACAAAGCATCATATTAATTTTTTATATGATATTTATTTGAATAAGTGTTTTATAAAAACAAGTGTACTATAAAAAAATATGTTTATAGGACAAGTCTCAATTGTCTCCTATAAAAAAGCTAATAGGGAAAGGTGGACTAAAAAACTTAGAAGACACTCGTAATCGTCATATAAACTTATTACAATACTTTTATATATGGCATACAATTGTATGGTCTTATAAAATTATAAGACACTCAATTTAAAGTCTTATAAAACAATTTATTAGAACACTTATATATTTTTTATATCCTATAAACCAGATTTTATCGGCAACCACAACCGCCCCACACGTAACCTGCCTCCAAGGACACCAATGTGAGGGGGCCTTTTTCGGCTCACTCACTGCAGACCCTAGCGGCGAAAGGTGAACTAAAAAACATATAAGACACTCAAAATCGTCATATAAACTTATTGCAATACTTTTGTATATTGTATCGTCTGTAAACTTATAACACATTCAATTTAAAATCTGATAAAACAGTCTATTATGACATTAATTTATACATTTTGCATTTATAAACCAAATTCTTTTGGCAATAAAAGTTCATTTCCAGCGACCCCAACCACCGGCCCCACACGTAACCCGCCTCAAAGGACACCAATGTGAGAGAGCATTTTTTGGCTTACTCAGGGATGAGGCTAGAAAAGGATGTTTGGATCGAACCCAGTACTTATCATATATTTTTGGACAAATCATTCCACCACTTTGCCAAGTGAGTTATACGTCAAAAACCCTGTAAATCTGATTTTGTTGTAGTGATAGCTTTAAACATTACACTTTTAAATGGCATGCAAAACTAGCTACAAAAGTGCGATATTGGCTTCTTTTTCTACATAGAAATATTAGTCGAAGAAATACATCCATGATCAAACCTGTTTAGGGTTCATCTCGTGATGATTATCGTCTTCTCTTTTGATATCTGGAGATGCAATTCTACTCGGTTCAACAGCTGAGATACGATGGCTTCCTCCGATAACTCGCGGTTCGTGTTGAATCCCTGCCATCGTTCTTCGTGTTTGTGTGCGTAAGAAGATGTAGAGATAGAGTATGTATACGTATGTATGTATGTATGTATCTTGGGAGCTAAAGCTTATGTTGGATAATCAGTTCCAATTGCTACAATGGTTTTAAACTAATCATTCGCTTATAATTTGTAGTAGTTTGGTTAAAAGACAGGTCAATGCCGTTTAAAAAGGGTGGCATGGCATCTTTTCAAAGGTGTATCCCTATTTGTTTAATTACTAATTGAATATGAGATGCATTATGCCATTTTGACTTATGCATGAACATTAAAATCGACTTATTAAACCAAAAGGGTGGTGTCTGATAGGTTTGAGCTTGGCTCCAAATGTCAAAAGTACCGGGAGGTTCCAGGTTCAAATCCAAGGAGGAATAAAAATTCCCTTGTGGCCACGGAGGTTCAAATGCGGTGACTCCGGGCTATCTGCAAAGCAGGTGGTCCCTTGGGATTAGTCGGTTTGCATAGCGGGTTGGATATCCAGGTTAATAAAAAAAATTATTGTGAGTTTAATTAATATTGTATTATGTGTTCTTATTCTTTATATTGTATATTCTGATGTTTAAAATAGGAATCAATAAGTATCTTAAAATATTCATATATTCTGGAATGAGGATTCTTGTCAACTACCGGTTGGAAGCATCTAATAATTGAAAAGACAAGCTTGAAATTTTGATCATTGAAAGCCTCCACCATAGAAGTCTTGTCTTAAGGCCGTTTACTGAACACTTATTTGGTAAGTATTTATCGGATAAATTTTCTCATCGGATGAACATGAGAAGGGTCAGGGCCGTCCTGGCCACGTGCAGCTCGTGCGGTCGCACAGGGCATCAAGTTGTCATCTATTACTAGTTTTGGGTTTAATAATTTAGGAATTGGACAACTGAGCTTTAACTATAAAAACAGGCTTAAGGCCTAGTAGTGATGAATACTGAATGCACATTGTGAACCGTTTAACACCATCATTCCAACAACTCAATCTAATTTCTATTTTTTTCTTCAAAGTTCGACTACTTCGATTTTCAAGGCATGGAGTTCTCTTTCTAGCCGATTTATGGTCATGAAATTAGATTCAAGAAATCAAAGATGGAAATCTCGAATGACTGATTTCTATTGTTGCTGAACTTACCGAGTTGCTATGTGAGTTACATTATGATTTATGAATCTTTAAATCTTTTTGCAAAAAAATCTAAATTTTTAACTGATTATTATAAAGTTGGGTCATGTGGTCGTGTGGGTTATTGACCTACTAGGTTAAGGCTAAGGGGTTTTTGTCATTTTGATAATGAGTATTCCTCTTGCATATTGAAATATTTGAGAATTGATATTTTCATTGCACATGAGCACATCACTGTGTCAACATAGCTGGAGCACACTGCACAACATTAACAACATATTGTGATATTGTCTTAATTATTGGGCACTTGTTCTTTGCAATACATAATAACGTAGATTACTTTGAGATTTGGCATTACCGCATTAGATTTAGGGGTCGTTTGATTGGTTTTTTATTAAGTTTTATATGAATTAATCTGTTTGTATGAATTGGAAAAGTTTTTGTTTGTGAGAGTTCTTTCGCAGATGTAAGGAGTGTTTGAAAAAAAAACTTGGCTTTCTATATAAAGTTCCCCCTACAAGCTTGGTTTGGGATAAGTTACTTTATATATCATTAAGCCACTACGAAACACTCATGCATAGTTGAGCGAAGAAGCTGTTAGTTCCATTATGCTTATTAAGCTACTAACAGATAGGCCTTTAGGCTTTAGTCGTTAGACCTGTAACTTTTGAGCTTTACTTTTTGCTTACTATGACAGTAATTTGAATGTAATTTACTATTTTAGTTAAAAACTAATTATAGTTTTCCTTGTCTTTTAAGTCCCATATATTGAAATAAAGTTTCTATTTTTTGCTAATTTCAATTTGGAAAAGAGAAAACTAGAAAAGAAGGAAACACGATCTTAATCCAGGATTTATCCTTTTATCATTCTATATTTTATATTCGGGGTTTTGGTTTTTATGTCCTCCCCCTCCATTGTATTTTTGTTTATTATAATTAGCTTGAATAGGTTTTAAACTTTTTAAAAAAATCGCATGTTTCGTTGTTTTATTGGCTTAAAGAAATAGGTTTAGGGGCATTTTTTTTATCATTTTCGCACAGGGCATCAAAAATCTAGGACCGGCTTTGAGAATGGTCAAGAATCTTACCGAGTAAGAGCGATGAGAAAGATGAAGAGTTTTACCCGGTAAGTGATGATGACGACTCTTACCCAGGTAAGCGCTTACCCACTAAATTGTTGCATTTGATATGTTTTGATATACTAAAATCTTACGCATCAAAATAAATCATAGTGTTGACTTCTATTGATAAGATTTACATGCTGATTGCATAAGCATAAGCACATAAACAAGATTTAATAAGCCATGAATATCATGTGACATGTAAGTTTATTAATCAAATGGAGATTTGATTCAGCCATATATACCTGATATCAATTAGGAGGAATAAGACAATTTCAGTTATGCCTTTTGATGATGGAATCAAGTAACTGTCTTCTTATTCTCTATTTCTTGTTCAGAGAATTCATATGATCACAAATGTCACAAATAATGGATACTTATAGTTAGTTAATATAAGAGGGGTAGAATTGTCCATCTATATTCTACAGGGACCATTTTGATACTATCATAAGTACCGACACTACTAAATGAAAGACTTTTGCTACAGACTTTTACCTGGGAAATCTATCGTTAAAGGGTGATTCGTCGCAAAACCGTTACAAAAGTTGGTGGGTAATTCAAATCAGTGACAGATTATCCAGGGATTATCTGGATGATCCATTGGTATTTTCTCAAAAACCATCAGAGTCTACCAAACGATTGGTATTCTATGGTTGTGTGATTTTTGTGGGTAAAAATCATTTGTTTTATAATGTGAATGATAATTGTAACATTACCGTACTCACTTATAGACTAATACTAGAACACGTTAAATAGACAAGGCCACATTCTGGTATAATTTTAACTGTCTCCTACTTCGTCGTATGACTATTTATATTAAGTGTTCATAAGTTGTCAATTATTGATCTATTTAATTCGTCTTTGACTAAACAAAATTGCTAAGGCAAAAAGAAGAAGGGATCTTACTCCTCTTAAATGACAAACCCCATCAATTTTATCTGAAGAGAGGTAGGTTCATATGAGAATGATACATATTTAATAGGATAAGAGAATGACTAAATTACATACAAAATCACATATGATTTACATTAATGACCAAAAAGTGTGTGGGCGAGCCTATGACAACGTGGCAAGGTCGCATGAATCACATGTGATTTTGTACGTGACGTTAGTATAAAATCACATGTGATTCAATCATTCTCTTAATTTTTTGAATATGTATCATTCTCGTATTAACCTAACTCTCTCTCTCTCTCTCTCTACATATATATATATATAGAGAGAGAGAGAGAGGTGTTTTACTTTGCAAACCATATATTTCATACAAACTATACAAACTAGCATCAACCAATAGCATAATTCCATTTTTTTTCCTTTTATTTTTTAATGCATAAGAGTATGATTGTCCTTTGACTTTATAATAGATAATTTTGGTAATATTTTAATTGTGTTTAAATCTGGAAGATTATATAGATTAGAGGTTTTTTAGGAAACGAGCGATCAATTTGTTTTTAATAGATACTTATCAACATTAATGTTTTGTATTATTTTATTAAATAAAAATAATCCGTCAATTTCAGAGTTTATTTATAATCATCTTTTTCTTAAGAATTTATTTATTTCATTTTCATAATAACAAAAGAAATCAGTTTTTTTTTTCAATTTATAAATCCTTCCATAGTTATTAATAATATAGTTGTGACATTTTCTAGATTTTGAGTATATTGTTTTGTTTCATTTGTAACATTCATGAATAAATTGATTTCCTTACAAATTTCATTAATGAAATCATGTTATCCAGTTTTCAAAATGTTTCATTCATGGAACTAATTTCATTTTGGTTATGATTCATGAAACTAATTTCATTAATGACATCATATTATTCAGTTTTCATAATGTTTCATTGACTGAATCATATTTAGTTTCATTAATAAACCCAATTTCATTTTGGTTAAGAACCATGAAACCAATTTTATCTTGGTTAGAAAACATGAAACCAATTTCACTAATGAAATCATGTCATCCAGTTTTCAAAATATTTCATTCCTAAAACCAATTTCAGTAATGAAATCATGTTATTCAGTTTTCAAAAGATGTTGACTGAACCATATCTAGTTCTATTAATAAATCAAATTTCATGATTATGAACCATGAAACCAATTTCACTAATAAAATCATGTTATTCAGTTTTCAAATTTTTTCATTCATAAAACCAATTTCACTAATGAAATCATATTATTCAGTTTTCAAAATGTTTCATTCTTTATTGTTGGTTAAAGATATTTTTATGTTTCATGATTTACTAAAATATCTCTCCTTTTATAGTTTTTAGGTAACTTTACTTTTAATTCGAAATTTATTTAATTCTAATATTTACTCATAAAATAAAGAAATTTTTTGTTTAATATACGATTTCCCAGATTTTCCTAACAAATTTTTTTTAAAACCATTCAAATAGTAAAATCATATAAATAGATTTTGAAGAGCTGATTTTGTTTCATTAATGTTGATACCCATGATTTTGTTATTTTCTTTACCAATTTATACAAATAATTTGGATTGAGATAGTTGTAGGTTGTATAAAATCATATCGTTTCATCTTCAAATTTCAATGGGTTGAAACTTTTAATGTGATTAATGCGATTGAACGGGATTAATGCTAGGAAAGGGGATTGAATACGGGGAAAAGATATTTCAATGCTGAAACTTTTAAAAAAATTCCAATTTTGCCCTTTCTTGGATAAAATATAATAATTTTATTTTTTCTATTTTTTTACTACTAAAATAACTTCTTTTAATAATGGCTTTTTATCATGAAAATGGATGGATAAGATTGGTTTGTAGGGTTTATACAA